GTAGCGTAGGCCAATTTTAAGATTCAACGGTGATGTATAGGTAGGATTTGTCATTGTCTTTTAAAGATGTCAAGCAAAGTAATGGCACTATCGCCAAATGTTAAAAAGTTGGGAGTAGCGTGGTGTTTCCTTGTCCTTTACAGTCTAAAACAACATAACACAGAGCTATGAACTTGGGGAGGAGAATTACTGTTTTGCAATCCTTAGAGTCCTCTTAGGAAAGAGAGAACAATCAAGGGATGTATGCAGAGGTGTTTGCAATGTGAATTTATAATGACTGAATGCTGCTTAATATGTAAAAAAAATATGCTTTTTCTATGTAGGCTTCAAGACTTTTCTTTCTCATCATTACTATGAAGGAACAATTGCTTTTCAACCAGCAAAGCACACACTGGGATCTCCACGAGATAAAGATAGCTGCAGAACAGGGTAGGCTAATGTTACCTCTGGATATTTGACATGAACTATTTGAAAAAGCCTGTACATAAATAGAGGTCACAGAAATGTTGTTTTTAATATCAGAACACTTACTGTTAAAGAGACAAGCTTGTAAAAAATTTATTGACTCATTAAAGAGAACACTTCATTTTATCAGATGAGTAAACAAAAATGTAATAAAATTTTGTTACTTGTTTCCCCCTTCCCCCAATTTTAAATGAAGCAAAGTATAACAGCACAGTGCCCATTTACAAGATGCTGAGGGTACTGTGCTGTGTTACTGCTAATAAATAAAGAATCCGGATGCCTTACAGCTTCTACAAACGGAAATAATTATTCAAAAATTCTCAAATGTTCACATTGTAATTGGATCTAGCAATTTTAGCGATTATTTTAGTGCCATGACAACAGCTGGCATGGCTTGTCCTGAGGATAGGTCCTTTCAGGAATCAGCCTATTTAGCCTTTTTTTATAGACTGCTGCTGTGCTGTTTAAATTCTGTGTGATATTCTTCACTTGTTTTTTCAATCAAGGGGCATACCTTAATCTCCCAGCGTTCCTTCCTTTCTCCTTGTTTTCGCCTGCTTGCAGTTATGCACTAGTATTTGTTATAATTTTATATATGTGTATATATATATATAGCCATCAGAGATACAGTAGTTGTCACAGCAGCAAACAACACAGAAGGATACAGCGGAGCCAGAACTTTGGCCAGAAACTGCATGGAACTTGTTGAGACTGCGCTGTGTTAGTGCTGTGACATGCTACAGATCACGGTCTCCAGTACTAGCTGGAGCAACTATCCTGATCCATCAGGTGCCTTGATGCAGGGGAAATTCCAGAGGGAGAAGGCTGTCATCAGGTCTCAGTCAGGGGCTAAAGAGTGCCCAGTGCCTCACATTTTGTCCATCCTGATAACTGCTGGAAGGGCAATAGGGCTGGGCACAAGCAATTTAGGAGAATCTGGGAGTGTGGTGGTGACAGTGATCATGCAGGTGATTGACAAGCTGACTAGGCCAAATACTCTGCTGGTCTTGTTACAGAAAAGGAGAGTGGGGGATGTGACTGTTGAGGGCAGTCTTGGCAGCGATGACTGTGAGATTATAGAGTTTAAAATACTGAGAGAAGTAAGCAAGAAAAAAAGTAGAATTGTAATCGTGAACTTCAGGAGAGCAGATTTTAGTTTATTCGGGGATCTTGGCAAGATTCCATGGGAGACTGCCCTGGAGCACAAAGAGGCTCAGGAGAGTTAGTTGGTACCTCCTCAAAGCACAAGAACAGTCCATTCTGATATGCAGAAACTTGAGTAAGCACAGTAGAAAACCAAAGTGGATGAGCAAGGATCTGAGAAGTAAAGGAAAGGGGCAAGTGGGATGGCTTGCTTTGGAAGAACACAGAGACATTGCTTAAACGTGCAGAGATGGAACTGAGAAATCCAAAGCTCAGGTGGCATTGAAATCAGTGAGGGATGTGAAGGGTGTTACTTCTTATGAAGGGATTATGTAAATATACCAATCGTAACAAAAGGCTAAAGGAACTGTGGGCCTGCTGCTTAGTGGTATGGGGAACCTAGTAATAAAAGGTGCAGAAAAGGCTGGAAAATTACTCCTTTGCCCCAGTTTTCACTGATGTAGTGTGCCCCCAGGCCTTGCAGGTCTGTGGATGAGGGGGAAACAGTGAGTGTTGCATGCCTTGACTTTAGCAAGGCCTTTGGTACAGTTGCCTGTAGTATTCTTAAAACCAAACTGATGAGCTGTGGACTAGGCAAGTGGCTGGGTGGAAAACTGGCTAGACTACCTAGTAAGGTTGTGAGTACCACGTCCAGCTGGCAGCCAGTTACTAATGGTGTCCCTCAGGGATCAATACTGGGACTAACACTAAGCAACATCTTTGTTAATGACGGACAGCGGCAGAGCATGCACTCTCAGCAGCTTTATGGATGGATGATACCAGACTGGGAGGAGTGGTTCACATGTTGAAAGTCAGGGCTGCTATTCAGAGGGACCTTGGTAGGCTGAAGAAATGGCTAATAGGAACCTCCTGAAGTTCAGGAGAGGCAAACGTCATGTACCTGGGGTGGCATTGTCCCATGCAACAGTACTGACTGGGCACTGACTGACTGGAAGGCAGCTCTGCCAAAAAGAACTTGGGGATCCTGGTGCATAATGGCTGTACCTGAGTTAGCAGTGTGTCCTTGCAGTAAGGAAGTACAACTTCATATTGAACTTTCTAAGCAAAAGAGAACAACATTGTCAGGAGAAGTGAATCTTCCCCTGTACTCAGCACTTGTGAGATGAAGGATTGGCTCCAGTATGTTAGTGTCTTCCACTGTTACAGCAGTCAAATACTGGAACAAGTTGCCCAGAGGTCTTGTGGACTCTACCCTTGCAGATATTCAAAAATTGACTGAACGAGACACTGAACATCCTGGTCCTATAACACATGCTTTGAGCAGAGCTTTGGACCACATCAGAGGTCCCTTCCAACCTATGTGATGTTATGGCTCTGTGATGCTGTTATTTCTGACATCCCGCAATCTTCAGCACTGTACTTGAGTACCTGTGCTGCCTGCAGGGCTGTCATGATTCATGCCACATCAGGGTTGTCAGTGCCATGCTGCACCTTGTGGTGGGGGATGATCTTGTAATGATTGGGTAAACCAAAAAAGTTTAACTGAATAATAGTTCTGTTTTCAGGAACTGAATGGTATTTTTGTTTTCAGATGTTACATTTGCAAGAAAAGTGAGCAACAGCTGGCAGAGCAGCACAAGGAATGTGGAGTAAAACATGAAGGTAATTTGTCATAAAAAGTAAGATTATAAGTATTACACAAATTACTGTTCTTCAGAATATATCAGTTCAAGAGTGTGTGTGTATTGGGGGTTTTTTTTAAAACATTGTAAGTACTAGATAATCCATGGTTTTTAAAGGAAAATACATGTAAATATATGAAAAATTCGTGTCTCCACTCAAACCTCAGAAAATTCAGATAAAATTATGCTAATTACTTGTGTATTTCAATGTGTTGAGTTTCTTTCCTTTAGGACAGGTATATTCTGTGAGCTAGGACTCTGTGCTCTTTTTGTGATAAGGACTTAACTGGTAAACTGTGAGGTAGTATAGAAGGAAGCAGTTCATTAAGTTAACTTTTGGAATAGATCAGGATTAAAAATTTGTGTTTGTTAGCACAAAAGTCACTCTATGTAAAGCTATTAAATAAATATGAGGCAGTGAGCTTGGACAACTAGTAACAGATCTAGTGGGCTTAAGTGTTTCTGTAGAATACCCCACCAATACTCAGTGTAAATGACAAATGAGATTTTTCTCCTCTTCCTCAAGTTATTCTTATTGTCCGTCTCCCCCCATCCCCACCCCCCAACTCTTGCACACTATTCTATGGAATTTTTTTTTATGGGCATAATTTTTCCATCCTTTTGTTAAAGCAACTGTTAATATACTGGATTCTGTGCAGTCATCCTCCTAGTTGTGTCTCTTTATGTCTGACCACTATGTCCTAAGGGGAAGCACTGATATTGATAAACTTCTGGCCTTGCTGGAGTAAGAGACGCAGATTCAGTTGGCTGAGTTTCACCTCTGGTCTCAGTTGGTCATCTTGGATAAACCTCTCTTAAACAGCAGGCAACTTTCCCATGGGTGCTTGCTTCTGCTTTTACTCTTTTTTGTTCTCTTGTAGTGCATAAAACCATCATTTTCTTGACAGAAACATTGGTCCTTATGACCTAGATGACCTTATAATTACAGTTATTTTGTTAGCAAAAAGAGTATCATCATAGCATAGAGATTCATTGGTAGCTTAAAGACTGTATATAGATTTCTATGCCAGCTTGAATTTCTGTTACGTGTGCTTATATACGGTGCTTTCATCCCAGCTAGTGCTTTCAGATCTTTGATGTAGTCAACAGATGGCCAGATTGGAATATTTCTTGAGTTGTTTTAATTTATGCCCAGATTCAGCTAAAGAAATTATTTTACATAATATTTTCATAGTAGCTAAATCTGATAGTAGATTTTTTCCTATCAAAAACCTGTCTCTTTGAGAAATGACTGGAATTAGAAATTGCCAACCTTTTTTGCTTTGTGGGTTTTTTGGGGGGGGTGGGCGGAATTTTTGTGTTTTGGGGTTTTTTGTGTTTGGGTGGGGATTTTGGCTGGTGTTTTTGTTGTGGTTTTTTTTTTAAATTTGCCATTTGTTAGCTTTCATCCAGCAAAGGACCAAAGGCAGAAAAAAGCTACAGGTTAGTGAGCAATCAAGACTGCTTTAGCCAGCAATGCACAAGACATTAAGCAGCTGATTATGTAGGATATTGTTTACTTACATCCATTTTACTTCTGGTAGCTGGCTTTCTTTGCAGTCCAGTCTCTTCTCCATGCAGTAGTGGTAAGGAAACTCTTGATTTGCAATAAAAAGGATTTTAAATCGCCACCTCAGATAAGCTCTTTACTCAGCAGGGTTTATTGGCTGACACTTTGGTACCTTCTTGGTTTGTGTACAGTTCAGGTAAGTTTAGAAGGGTGCTTGCATTGGCTGTCACTGAACATATTTCTTTGCACTGTGCAGAAATCTATGTGCATGTGCTGAGTAAACTTTAAATATTAGTACTTTACGCTGATTTCAGCAACTTGCAGTATATGTACACAATAGCCATCTGAAACCAGTATTGTTTATGCTCTCCCTGCTTATGATTGTATGAAAGATGTTTTGGGTGAACAATTTGTGCTGTGACAGTGATGCACTCTGTAGAATGGTTATGAAAGCAGTTGGTCATTTAAAATGTGATAAATACCCTGATTTTGTTCTTACTTGAACAGTGGAGCTTTTTTTGAGTAACGTGCTGAAATTTATAGTGAATGGTACTTTTCCACCAGGTGAAAACCATCTATTACAGTAACATATATAAGAATATATATAATGCCTATATGTAATATATAAGCTTATATATGTAAGCATTATATATGCTTATATAATAATGCATACATAGTAATATGTAATTACCTTAAGTAATTTGAGACTTATTTGTTACAGTGAGCATACTTCAAAAGTTAACACATATCTAGACGCACTACAGACTAAATTACTAACCTCTCTCAGATAAACAACAAAAGGATTTATCAGTAAAGGGTGTTTTCATTTTGGTTTTTGTATGCCTGATACTCTTGTAAATAAGCACTTGTACAGTTCTGGATGCTGATGTTTCCAGTCGTTTCTTACCTTCTGTTCAGTTACCTTCCATCTCAGAGCAGGGCCTCATCGTTTCCTGCAGCCTGAAGAGAGTAATTTTGTAGTTTGACGTTTAAGTCTTTCTCATCTCTCTTAAGATTAAATTATTTCTTTCTGTAATGTTCTGTTTGAAAAGCAACATAAAAAGATCAGCAGTAAAGCAAGCAATACTAAAACCACTCTGGCAAATGATGTGAAAATGTTGAATTTAAGGGCTGCGGTTTTTTCTTTTTATTACTGATTTGTTTATCAGGAGGTAGAGAGGATAGTCTTGATGGAAAAAGAATAAAGTTTTTAGCTTCCTTTAAGTCTGTTATCACATTATAATCCTAGTCTATTTTTCCCATTACTAAAGTGTAGATAGTAAGAAGTTTCAATGAAGGAAGCTTCCTTTCAAGGAAGCAAGAAAAGTTCAAAAAGCAAAGAACGACTACAGAATACTTTCCAAACTTTTTTTTTTTCTGATGAGTAAAGCTTGGAAGAGGTCAATTCATCATAGACTTCAGGTCCTAGACAATTGTAGTAATGATTCTAAAATGTAAAATTAGTGTTGATTAGTAAAATGTAAAATTAATAATGATTCTAAAATGTAAAATTATTAGTAAAATGTAGTAATGATTAGTGATTACTCTAAAGTAAATGTGAAGTTTCTAAAACTAAGACAGTAAAGAATATCAGAATTTCAGGACATGAAATACATAGCATAAATGTCATCCATAGTCCCATCAAAGAAGCACCTTGAAAATAACTGTAAGTTAACCCAAATGTAGGGAACCGTGTAACATTAGATTCCCAAGTCCATAATAGTTAATACACCTCAAAACCTCTACCTTGCTGTGGTTTGATGATCAAACTTTAACAAGTTTATATAAACAAACTTTATCTTTCTTTGCTCGTTCCTTAATTGTACCTCCATCATCAACAATGCCATTTCACTCCTGAGCTCCAGTCTTAGAACCACATGTATCTTCGTAGACTATTCTGCAATCATTACTTCTGTGGGGTTGTTGTTTGAAATATCCAGGTCTTATTAAGAGGAGAAAAGGAGTGTCTCCTCCTCCTTATATTGGGAGGAGAAAAGGAGCGTTACGGCTGCTTTATGACTTTTTCTTACCATATTGAGGAAGGCGATTATGTGTAATCTAAAAACACAGAGGCATTTTTAATCTATTTTTATCCATATTCAAGAAAATACTGTTTAGATGACAGCTCTGTCCCGTGCCTGCCAGTGTCATTTTGTTCCAGAAAATTCCTCTGCCTCTTGGTGGTATTGATGCCATCATACCTTTAAGCTCAGTCTACATCTAATCTCTAACAGAACAGTTTCAAGTTCTTGAAAACAGACTTTCATATTGTTTTCCAGAAATCTCTGAAGATTTACGTACAGGAAAGTTCAACGGTTAATAGCATTCATCTTCAGACATTTGGGGTTGGGGTGGAAGAAACAGACTCCTGATCAGCTGCCTGCTCGTCCTTGCTGAATCCTGAGTCATATATTCCTTTTTTGTTTTAATTTTTTTTAAATATAATTTGTGGCATTGAAGCAGAAGAGGAAAATTGTTTTAGAAATCAAATACTAAACCCCCTGTCTTTGTGTCATTGTTTATTTAAGACTAACATGTTGGAGGGCAAGAATAAAATGTTTAAAAAGTTAAAAATCCTCCTGAACTTCCACAGTGCAAGATTGTAACTTGCCTCTGTCTTTTCCCTGCCTAAGACTTTGTGGTTTTACCCAAACAGCATTGATGCCGAATTTGACAGGCATATGTCAGAAATGGTGAGCAGTTTTAGTAGATAATCACAGGCTGTGAAGGGAGAAAGCAACTTTCTCTGATAGTGTATAAAAAATAGATTATGTTTTTTTAGTTACAGTTTATTTAGGTACTTATTGACGGTGCATGAATATGCCCAGTAAAAACTTTTAAGCTGCCATGAATTATTGCTTTTTAGTGTTCTTGTGAGTAGGTCAAATAATAACAGATCTCCATGCTTTTATTGATGTGTTTCAGAAGAAGAAGAATGGAAAGTTATTAAAGGGAAATTTCTAGCCATCAATGCAGTAAATATGAGCTGTGCCTGTCCACGAAGTCCAAAAGGTCTTTCACCAGCTGCTCATTTGGCAGACGGTTCAGCTGACCTCATTCTAGTTCGTAAATGCTCCAGATTTGATTTTCTACGGTATCTTGTCAGACATACAAACCAAGATGATCAGGTGTGTATTCCCTCGACAATGAATTCTCCAGAGTCAGTCTAAGTTGTAAATATCAATACTCTTATATGAAAAAAAAAACATCTACACTGCCATTTTTGGTGTTGTGGTTGTTTTCTTAAAAAAAGTTTATACATTTTGGGTGACATAATCTCAGCATGTATACCATTTAAAAAAAAAAAAAAATTAGCTAAGTCATGTCTTTGGCCATAGCATTTTAACAAGATTCCACTTCTGCTAATTGAATTCTGTTTCATAACGTTTTCCATACATTTGCTGTTCGGACAATATTTGAAGGGATTTTATCACAACTGTGCCCCCATGTATTTGTCATGAAAAATTGCTCGCAGCAATATGACGTAGCTGAGATAGAAGATGTAGTGAAGAATAATAAATCACTTCTTGTAAACTGTATAAAAATGTGGTTTGGAAGAAAGTTACCAGAACTGCAGTTAGATTGGGCAGGCTTTTAACAGAATTTTACTGCATATAGTGACCAGGATATGAGCTTTATGCATTCAGCTTCAAAGTTATTCCTCGCATATGGTGTAGCTGTTGGGATAAACCACAAGGGAAGATGCATCACTGCTTTGGATTGTAGTATCTATTGAAACCAGAGCTATGGCTTTGAATACACACATTTGTCACAACCTGATACTACTAACATGTTCTGGAAATTATCTGAACAATGGACTAATGTCATATCTAGTTATAAAAGCAGTAATAAATCTCACTTGTTCATGATGCTATTCTTCCTCCTCTGTAGAAGAATTAGTATAGATTCTCTTTCCTGTATTTCCTCATTACCATTCCCTGGGACATTGTGTGTGTGTCTCCTCCTTCCTGCTATTCTCAGTCTCCACTTCTTCCCTTCACTCCTTCCCACTCACTCTCGCTGTTCCCCTGGTATTTTTGATTATTTGAAGCCTCCCTGGCTACCTTTCAAATTGGCCTCAACATTTATCAAGAGACTACATTCTGCTTAGACTCGAAACATGAGAGCATTCATGGGTGGCTCTGGGCGGCCACAGGTACCAGTTTTTGCAACTAAGCTGTTTGGACTAGCGCACTGCTTAGTGAGCCTCATTGTATCCCTGAGCCACTGCTTCCAGGTGTGGAGCTGGACAACTTCACGGTTTGTTTATGATTAAAAGCCAAGGGACCTTAAGACCTAGGAGGTCCCTTCAACTCTGATGCTTTTTGTGGTTGCTACTGTGGCCATTCCCCTTCCAGTGCTTCCCAACTGTTTCCCTCTGGGATATATTGGTTTTGCAGTGCACATTAAACACAGGGTTGTGCATATGTCCTTACCTCAGGTTAGTGTCCGCCATAATAGTGGAAAACCCTGTTTGAAAACTTAAGAAAACGTGAATAGAAAAAGGAAGAAAAAGGTGACCATACGTTAATACAGACTGGTTTATGGGTAAACTGTTGCTTTGTTCACTTTTCTTTCCTTGCCATCCCCTTCCCATAGATGCACACAGACATACTCCATTGCTCTTGCTAAATGACATGTCCGTATTTATTAGAGCTTGCTAAATGTTTAAGTCTGTATCAGTTAGGTTGCTTTCAGGGCAGGTGGGGGCACCCTCTAGTTTGATTGTTCCTTTGATTTACAAAGCCTGTTTTAAAGCATTTGTACAATATTGTAGTGTAAATCTGCAACCTGGGTTGGTAAGAGCAATCTCATACTTGTTCCACTTTTTCTAGCTAAATTAACTAGTTAAAATTATTTTTTATTTTGTTCAAATGTAATAATATTGCCCTCTATTCTTACACCCAGCTCTGTGATGTGATCACACTGCCATGGAATTCTCACCTTCAGGGCATTTTTCCAAATGCAGAAGCTGAAGGCTTTCAGAAAAGCCCATGTGTCTTAAGGACTGTAGTTAAAGAGGTCCTGAGGATGGTACAAAGATCCAGTCCAAACCTTTTAGATTTTGATTCCGTATTACAATAGTTTTTATAGGCTATTTCTTTAATAGTTTTTATATCTCATTTACTCATAATCTCAGAACTTCTTACCTGATTATCTGTAAAGTGGCCGTACTGCAGCTACTTGAAGAGGACCATTGAAAACTTAGGTTCCATTTTTGCTTTATTGACTTGTGCAGTTTTTTGAAAACAAAAATCGGTCCATGCCTCTGGTAAGCTTCTACAGAAAATTGGAATGGACAAACTTTCTTGAATACAAAAAGCTGCATGCTGAGTTGCGTTATACATCAGATGTATTTAACTAATTGTAATTGCCTGTTTTGATTTATTTTTTTCTTTGTAGTTTGACTTCTCATTTGTAGATGTTTATCGGGTGAAGAGTTTTCAGTTTACATCAAAGCTTTCAGAAGACAATGAAAGCAATGTCACAGACATAGGAAAGAAACATTTTGGCCAGTTCTGCAGAGATCATCCAGCCTGTTGCTGTAATATTGCTAATAGCACCTGGAACTGTGATGGAGAAACTCTGGACAGTTCAACAATTGAAGTGAGGTAAGCATTGATTTTTCTCTCCATGTACCAGAAAACATATTTGGCCTTTTCACTGATGTTCATAAAGATATCCCCAAAAGGTGGCCCCATAGAGCAAATTTGAGTCTTCTGGTAATAAACTTTTTTCGGTTACTTTTTTTTTAGTTGTTTCCAGAGAATACTGCAAGCTTGTATATTGTAAATGATCACTCTGAGATGGAGGGATGGCCCTCCCTTTGAAGACCTACTTACTTCTTAGGAACTGATACTATGTGCTTGAAGTGCTGAAGGTGAAGGTGGTGGTAGGAGAATTATTTTTAAATGAATGTAAATGACTTGTAATTACTTGTAGCACTAGCTTTTCCTATTAAGCTTAAGTAGGCATCTTGGTCTTACAGAAATACTGAGCATGTCCCATACTTTGTGTTTTTTGACACACAGCACAGAGTTTTATCTCCAGCCTTGCCATATGGAGAAAGAAGTTTGCAGTTCTGCAAATAATCAAATTAGAAGGGAGTAGAGGTTTGTGAAATTTGAAGGGCTTTTTTCTTTTTTGTTTGGTTTATTTTTTGTTGATTGGTTTTGTTTGTTGTTTTTAGAACAAAGGGAACCAAAACCGCAATACAAAATACTTACATGTGAGTGTGTTCCATTAAAACATAATCACTTAGCAGTCCAAAGTGATTTTTATGAATGTTGTGTATTGTATGAGATCAGCTCGTCTGAGTGCCCCATAGAACTTTTTATGTGGAAAAGAGGAGTAACAGGAGTGATGGATACATGAAAACATCCAGCCTTCTTTGCAGGGGAGGCTTGTATCAAGAATGACAGTGCAGTTCCTGTAATTTGGAGCAAGGAACTTTGTCCAACTGCTTGAAATGCATGAATTACTAGAATTCAATATGTAGTACCCATTTATTTGTTATTAATTGATTTCCATATTTTTCAGGGTTCACTGCCAGTTAATGAAACTATTTGCAAGGGGAATCGAGGAAAACTGTAAAGATGAAGCTGCCTACAGCCAGAGTAGTGTTGAACAACTCCTATAGACATTGTTCCTCTAATGGGGGGAAGAAAAAATAAGAGCTCAAGGAAATTGAGTAAATATGCATTTTAGTCAAATTGACAAGTATTTTAAAATTTTAGACATTTTTTTTATGGCTTCGGTATAATTTTAGACATTGCATTGTGTCATTTTTTAGAAAACATTGTAATCATTAAAATACATCTTGGAGCAATGTAATCTAAGTTGTGTTAGAACAGAGAGGATTGGTGTATATATATGTGTTCACAGACTGATAAATTCTCTGTGCTTTTCTAGAGAGCTGATTTAGCAGTTGTGTTGCAATCATATCTAAATGTTATAAAACATTGGTCTTTCCATTGTCATGAAACCAAGATACCAAGACAAGATATTTTCAGTGTCTGAGAAGACATTTTCTGCTGGAAGTGTTATATAGTTGCATGTGGCTTAAATGCTGGACAACAGTGTTGTCATTCACATCTTTTTTTAGTAAAATCTATCATTTTGTAATTCTGATTATACCTTGCAACTTATCAATGCAATTCAAACACACATTCCTGGCTTTAAGTAATAACAATAAGAGTTTAGAAGAACTTTGAAAAATAAAAGTACATCTGTATACATACCTTATCCTATATATTCTGTTTCTAAAGGCTTCCTTGCATGATGCTTTTTGGGATTATAAAGGGTTTTATGACTGTTTGGATGATACCAAATACCACACACTGCAACTGAAATGTCTTGCAAGCAACTCGCAGGGATAATTATATAAAACCAGGAAGGCACAGGCAAAGGAAAAGAATTATCTTCTGAAACACTTCTGAAACACCAGAAAGTTTTAATTTTTTTATAATATCTAAAATTAACGTATGAAAAGCTTCCCTCTTCAGTACACAGTTCTTTGGAGATTCTACTACATACATTAAAATGTCTTTGCAAAAGAAGACTTTGGAATGTTAAATTTAAAAATATGATTTGGTGATTGGAAGTTTTTAAAATAGTGTTTATTTAACTGAATATGAAACAAAATAATCTGTTTTGTGAAGCCAAGGGAAGACAACTGGCATCTGATAAATTACAAATTCACTGTGCTGATTTGTTTTTAAGCAAAAAAACATTAGACTATCACGTATAGCTATGGAGTCATTATTTAAGTTGTGTATGGATTTGTGTACTGTGACACACATGTTCTATATGTACTCTTGGGGCTAAATTTTGCTTCTCTTGTAGTTAGTTATTCCTCTCTGAGGATCAGAAGTTAGCACCTGCTCTCTTCTGTCTTTTCTTAAGTGTGTAGTTCTCTTTAAAGCTCATTGCATTTGAGTTGTTTTTGTGTCTGAACAGCTAACGATTTTCTTTTCATGTATTTTTTTTGCACTTCTGTCATTCAGCTTGTTTTAGTTTCAAGCCTCTCATGTATTTGCTCTGCATAAGCCATAGTGATTGATCAGTTTATTACTGAAGCACTTGAAAATTGTTATAAATGGCTGATTTTTTTCTGTAGAAATTATTTACATTCCAGTTTTGTGTAATATAAAAATGGTGTGCTATATCTTTGCTACAAAGTATTATTCATACTGCTGTATATGACAAAAAGCACTTGCAAATGCTATTTGCTTAAAGTACAGTCATACAAAGTTCAGGATCTGTTTTTTGTTATATAGTATTTCAGGGAAATACTTGAATACTTTTCCAAATGTACTGTTGTTTACTTTCCTTATTAATGCAATGAGTTGAAATGTTGATTGATCCAATGTTTTTCAGATATTTGTAACATGAGTGTTATGTATACTATATTTTTAAAGCCATGTTTAATAGGTGAAATAGTATTTTTGACCTAAGAACCTCATTGAAAATGAGATTATGCAGTTCTACAAATGAAAATATTTTTTGAAAGTGTCATTTGTTTAAAAAGTTACACATTTACTTTGGTCTATCCATAAATATTGTGAGAGAACCCAGACTTCAAGTTACCTTAACTCTTGTGTAGGATATGATGGTGCACGCTCAGCTCACCAACAGACGAGGGCATTTGTGAGGCCTTACAGCTCTCCAGATCACGTTCTCATAAATGAGAACAGGAGTAAATACTAACCCGCTCTTTCCATTAGTTTACTAGTAGGTCATGAGACCCTTGAAAAATGGAGGCTTAATCTTGTCATGAATGTGTATTGAAATGCTTTGAACATTTTTGATAGCTGAAGTTAAGTGCTTGGTGTTTCCAAAGAAAGCCACAGTGAAGGCCCCCTTTCTGACAAGCCACCGGAAAAGCAGAAAAGATCGTTCTGTAGTATAGTAATGAAGTGTGAAGTAAATAACAAAGGTACTGCAACGTAATAAAACGGAAAGGTCTTAGGTGATGGAAAAGCTGCATAGTTGCATTTGAATAATTCTATTTGTAGCACATTATACTAGCGAAGCACCGTATGTGAGTTGTATGACATGTCCAGTTTATTTTTTAAGAGAGCTGCATAAGTAATGTCTGCTTACATTTTAGTTCTAGGGTTTTTTCTCTGAATGTAGTGTCAATATGGAAATTACGTATAGGAAAACCAAGTTCGAATTTTCTTTTTTCCCAATCTTGCTGGCTTCAAGATTAGAAAATGTGTTCTGTTTCATGACACTAAGGCATTTCATTGAAAAAATAAAATTACGTTGTACCGCAATACAGTGGTTTTCTTCTTTTCACAACTTGATTAGAAAAAATACCTATTGCCAGATTTCTACCAAACAGAGGTCATGTGCTCGGTGTAACCAACGTGGGAAGATTAAATCAGGTGGAGAAGTAATTATAAGCTCCCATTTGGGTTGACCACAGCTTTGTAGGAAGTGTGAGTGTGGACAAACACTGAGAGTGAAGAAAAGCAACTAGCAAAGCTGGACTTCAGCTAAAACTACGCAAGTCTACCAAGATGAACTAGAGATTGAAGGAGGGAGAAGAAACTTGGTTATAGTGTTAAGCATTTAGAATTATTGATTCTGGGAAAATCTAAACTAGAAAAAGTCAGAGAAAACTAGCATTCTAAGCAGCATGAAATACATTGTATACCCTAAAGAGTATAATAAAAAGATGGGTTTTTAGAATTTCATTGCAGCAATTACTATGGATGCAGTACATAGCCTAATATGAAATAAAACTTGTTCATTGTAGATGAAGAGTGGGCACAGTAGGAGAACACGCTTTTCGGCACTGTGGAGAGTTCTGCCTTTGAAGTGTATTGGGTTTATGTGGCAAGGTGTTGGGAGCTGGGGGGCTGCATGGGGGGCTTCTCTGAGAAGGCACCAGAAGCTGCCCCCACGTGGGACAGAGCCAGTTCCAGCTGGCTCCAAGATGGACCTGCTGCTGGGCAAAGCTTGAGCCCATCAGTGATGTCAGTAGCACTTCTGTGGTAACATTTTAAGAAAGGGTAAAAACCACTGCGCAGCAGCTGCGAGAGGGGAGGGAAGAGGGAAACAGCCCTGCAGACACCAAAGTCAGTGAAGAAGGAGAGGGAGGAGGTGGTCCAAGCACCAGAGCAGAGGAGCATGTGGAGAAGACCATGGTGAAGCAGGTTGTCTCTGTGCAGCCCATGGAGGTCCACAGTGGAGCAGATCTCCACCTGCAGTCCTTGGAGGACCCATGTTGGAGCAAGTTTCCTGGCAGGAGCTGCAGAGGTGGAGAGAAGAACATGCAGGAGCAGGTTTTCTGGCAAGAACTGTGGCCCACTGGGGACCCGAGTGGGAGAGGCTGTGTTATGAACTGACCACAACACCCACTTCCCATCCCCCTGTGCAGCTCCAAGTGGAGGGAGGAGGTAGAAGAGTCGAGAGTGAAGTTGGACCGGGGGCGGGGAGGGTGGAGGAGAAAGGGGGCTTAGTTTCTTTTTTATTTCTGTCTGTCCTACTCTGTTATTAATTGGCATGAAATTAATCTTCCCCAACTTGAGTCTGTTTTGCCCCCGACTGCAATTGCTGAGTGATCACCCCATCCTTATCTTGACCCATGAGATTTTCATCGTATTTTCTCCCTGTGTCCTGCTGAGGAGGAGCAGGGACAGAGTGGCTGGGTGGGCACCTGGTGGCTTCTTATAGGAAATTGATGATTATTCATGAAGAGGAAGATGGTATGTAGAATCAGAAATTTCTCTGAACACCTCTGTCTTGCAATTCAAGTATTATTTCCCTAGAACTCCTGCCTCAATCCCTATGAAGTAAATGAGTATTAGGAATTAATCATTTTTATTCTCATTAGTCACATTGTTCTTATTTCAAATTTCCAACAGGATAGTTAAGTATGTTTAATAAAGTCTAACTGGTGTTTAAGTTGCAGTAAATGAATTCTGTCCATACTTAAGGAACAGTCTCCCCAGACTTCTGCCTTACCCACTGACATGCACACAACACACATCTTGCAAAGGCTTATGCCTGTTCTTAATTAATCTGTGACTAGTCCCATTAATTTGAAGGGGGTGCGGCATTTGTTCTGCAATCAGTCATGCCTTTCAAATCCTCTGCAGTGAGAGGAATTAACAATTTTTTTATTCCCTTTCCTACTGTTTAGAAATAGCTCCTAGCATATACCTACTGAAATAGCCAAGAGGTTGTCTTCAAAAGGTGTTTGCTCCTTTAAGACTCTCACATGTCTGAAGGGGTGGCTTGCTCTTGTTGATAGTTTTTTCACCTAGAGTGCAGTTTTGTGCCTTATTTCACAGGAATCCTCCAGCAAAAAATAAAATGAATAGGTTTTTCTGTCTTTTTTTTTTTGCACGTAGAGAAGACTTCAGTAGCGTAGAACAAGAGAAAAATAGAAGGCGAAAAATATTTATTCATAAAGGAAAAATACTGAAAGAATAACAGAAGTGATGCAAATTAAAAAATCCATGGAGACCAAATTCTGGAAAGGATGGAAGAGAACAACTGCAAAACAAATTTTAAAACGAAGAAAAAGAGAAGTAGAAATACGAAAACAAAATACAGATTTTTTTTATTTTAATTTTGCCAGAAAGCAATTGCCCAGGCAGTATTTTAACTGCACAGTAAAGCTAGCACGAAAGGTTTGAGTAGATTGCTAGAAGTTTGCCTATTTACAACTGATAGACAGAATAGAAGCTTTATCACTGTTGTGAAGACATATTTCTAAAAAAATGCTGGGCCACGCTTATATGTCTGCTGACACGGTTTACCAAAATAGCAGCATTGCTAGAAGAGGTGTTAAAGGGGAATTGTAAAAGCAGCCTCCTGTAGCAATGTGCGGCATTCTGAAATGACTTGTTCAATTTAATCTGCCAAATGTTTATTTTTCATCTTCATATTTAGCAGCTGTATTTTAGGAAAGGGGAGGTTGGGCAGCAGGAAGAAATGCTAGGTTAGTACTTCAATGCTGCTGAGGTTAAGGTGGTGGGACAGCAACTCACACCAGCGAAGAGTCTGCCCCATAGACCTTGTAATGTCGGGGAAAGTTCCTGCAGAAAATGATTGCATACAGAAAAACCTATGCCGTTCCTGGGAGATGTTTGTGTAACCTCTTCTTCTGAGCTCTCAGTGAT